TATCCTAATGCTCGAAAAAAGAATCGCAAGGTTTTCTTGCATGTAGGTCCTACAAACAGTGGTAAAACATACCATGCTCTGAAGCGACTCGAATCAAGTCCTTCTGGTATTTGTCCAATGCTAATTCTAGCAACATTCAATTAAATTTGTTCATTAATGGTTGGAGGGGATTGAACTAGTGTTAATAAACTGACTAAATGTTTTGCATTGGTCCTTTCCCTCTTCAGGTATATATTGTGGTCCTTTAAGATTGTTGGCATGGGAAGTGTCAAAACGGTTGAACAAGGCAAAAGTTCCCTGTGATCTAATAACAGGGCAAGAGAAGGAGGAAGTGGATGGTGCGAAGCACAAGGCTGTAACTGTTGAGATGGCTGATGTAACTACCGATTACCATTGTGCTATTATTGATGAAATACAGGTAAGTGTATCGTTTAATTTAACATTCATCCACCATGTTTTACCAAGCTCACAAGGAATTTTTCTCTTGATTAATTTGTGAGTGGTACATGCACAATTATTAAACATAAACTAAATAGCACAACTTAAATGATTCTTATGCTACTGTCTAAAAACACTATCAGCATTTTCTATGAATCGCAGGTCACTTTAATTCCTGCTAAAATTTCTCTTTCTCTGCAGATGTTGGGCTGTAAGACTAGGGGTTTTTCATTTACTCGTGCCCTGTTGGGAATTGCTGCTGATGAACTTCATCTTTGTGGGGATCCTGCTGCTGTTCCTCTTATTCAGGAATTACTGAAAGTGACTGGTGATGATGTCCAGGTAATGCAATTTTGGGGAAATGTCTGGTCAATTTTCTTCTTTTTCCACTTGTAAACATCAATATATATGTTAGAACATCTTGTTTTCTGATGGAGATAATTTTTGCTAAGAGCTAAGGTATTTCAGTTATCAGTTCATAACCCCCGAGTGTCAGAGGGGAAAAGAATGACGAATGATATGTCTGCTGCAATCCCAATTCTTTTGGGAGATTGAAACCTCAGGCTTGTGGGTTTACACTTAATCTTGTTAGTTTGTTGTTGGCAGGGGAACTGCTTTCTTGTCGCATTGCTACACTACTGCTTATAACTTGTGTAATGCATATATATATAACCTTTAAATCTTTTTAATCAGAGGCAAAGTCATATTCAAAAGGTTTTCTTATTGTGCTGTCTCAGTTTTACAGATATAAAGAACTACCTCTATATGCTGGATAAAATAAATGGAAGTTGATTATTCTTCTGCTGCACAACTTAGATGATGTCCACCTTTTTTTGTTATCTATCTAGATGCACTGTTGAATAGGCATAAAAATTGCTTTCTTGTGAACTGGGCTTAGTGCCTAGCATTGTTGAATAGCAAGAAAAAAAAAAATGTTGTTGTTGCTTCCATGCATGTGGCCCACTTTTGATGTATCTGTTTTTATTTGTTGGTATCATACACCATCTTGTGTTTTTAATATCCTAGGTCCAATCTTATGAGAGACTTTCACCACTAGTTCCCTTGGAAGTTCCTCTTGGATCTTTTTCTAACATACGAACAGGTGACTGCATTGTAACTTTTTCACGCAAGGAAATATACAAATTGAAGGTCAGTAGTACTTCTTTATGTTTGTGGCACTATATGTATGCTCCCTCTGTTTCTTTGTTTGATTATGCTGTAGTTTCAGTTAGTTAAACCTTGAAAATGGAAAACGGAAAACTATCTTTTTACTTGTAGGTTTCAATATGTCAAAACACTAGTTTTTCTTCTGTCTTACTAATTTGCTTCTTCTTTGTCTTTCTGGGAGAAAGAGAAATACATTTCAACTTCCTTCTCTTTTTTCCTCTGTATTGAGGCTTGCGTATAGAATTTCAAAATTTGCTTTCATACCCCGCTCTTTTGTCTGTCCACTTCCTTTCTGAAAATGCTTTCTTATTTTCCCTTTCTTTCATAGAAAAGAATTGAAAGCAGAGGAAAACATCTTTGCTCTGTGGTTTATGGTTCGTTGCCTCCAGAGACTCGGACAAGACAGGTATTACGTCTTTCCTTCTTTATTGATCAAGTTTGTGCAAGTAAGTTTGTGTGAGCATGTGGGGATGATGATGGTTTCATTTCTCACTCTTGTGCGTTTTTTTATTTATTTTTGTTTATTGTTAATATGTTCTTTTGGATTGCAGGCAACAATGTTTAATGATACAAGCAGTGAGTTTGACGTGCTTGTGGCCAGTGATGCAATTGGGATGGGTCTTAATCTGAACATTTCAAGAGTGATTTTTTCAACATTGAAAAAATTTGATGGTTTTGAAATGCGGGATCTTACAGTACCTGAGATCAAGCAAATTGCAGGTACCCTGTTAATTTTGTGGCTGAAGTTTGGAATATTTTTTGATATGAGTGGTAAAATTGTTATGGTAAAATTACTTTTTTTAACTTTCATAAAGGGAGGGTCTCAGATTTTGTCCAATTATGGTGCATCTGGGGTTTGCCTTTGGCTAGGACTGAGAATCGATATCTTGATGATGAGCTAAGTCCCTTGGGCTATGTATCTGGAGGCATAAAGGTTAAATGGTGCTGGATTATATCTTAGTAAATACTTTCACCTGGCAAAAGGTAGATAATAACGCTAATCTTATCATGAGGAAATTCTGGATTGTTGAAAGTTGGAATGTCATATTCCCGTTCACCCTCCTTGTTTTATTATTGCATACTTGAGCCAACCCAAGCTGCACAAATAACCATTCTATGATATGACTATGTTCTATTTGAATATTTGTATGTTAACCATATTTAAGCAATTCATATAAGTTTTTCAGTTGCTGATTTTCTTATTTCATGAGGCACAGGAAAGTTGATAAATTTTCATTAGATGACTTTTATATTATTGTAGGGAGAGCTGGAAGGTATGGATCAAAATTTCCTATGGGTGAAGTGACCTGTTTAGATGCAGATGATCTACCTTTGCTCCATTCATCGTTGAAATCCCCCTCTCCTATTCTAGAGGTGATTGTATTATCGTTGAAGTTTCCTACGAAATTCTGCACTGATTAGGCTTGTAACATTTTCAATGGATCTCAATAAGCAGTCTTTATATATTTTCACATGTGGTTCAGTATTGATGTTGCTTGAGTCTGAGTCATTTCTATAATGCAGCAAGCTGGACTGTTTCCATCCTTCGATCTCATTTTTATGTATTCACGTTTACAACCTAAAAGAGGTCTCTACCAGATATTGGTATGTTACCTTATGATCATCTTTTTCTTCCTTTTTTTTTTCCTAGTCCTCTTTTTTCAGTGACAGAGAGTATCTGAACCCATTGGGGGTTAAATAATACTTGAACCTCACTGTCCCCATTATTTATTTTATTTTTGCAGGAGCATTTTATAGAGAATGCAAAATTATCTGAGAACTACTTCATTGCAAACTGTGAAGAACAGTTGGTAAGTTTCTTCAGTCATGTTCACTTCTAAATTACTGGGAGAGTAATGATTAGAAACTCCTTACAGAGGGAAATTTGTTTTCAGATAACAATATCTCCCCTTATGGGTATTTAACCTTTTTAAGTTATGAATTGATGATTCATGTGTATTTAACCTTATTGAGTGCTAAAGACTCTTCATTGACATCAGAAAGTTGCCGCTGTTATCGATGAACTGCCTCTTGGGTTGCAAGATAAGTATCTTTTCTGCATCAGGTAACATCTTTGATCTTTCTCCACAAAGAACCAGAAATTTGGTTAGAATCTGTTAGTTTTAGTTTGCTTAGATTTTCTTTTAACTCGTTGGAATTGACTGGCTGGGCATAGTATGTAGCAGATTTGAAGAACTTGGTCATTTTCTTATGTGTAGTACTTTTTCTGTGCAGTCCAGTTGACATGAATGATGAAATATCATCCCAGGGTCTAACGCAGGTAAAAAATTGTGTCGTCTCTTGATTATTTTTAATGTGGAAATTAATGGTCATCTATATTGTACTTTGATGGATCAGTTTGCCGAAAATTATGCAAAAAAAGGCCTTGTTCACCTTCGAGAAATATTTACACCTGGTACACTTCAGGTGCCCAAAACACATTCTGCACTCAAGGAGCTCGAATCAATTCACAAGGTAGGAAATTTTCTTTTCCTGAGTGTCATGTGTGTGAAGATAAGCAGTGAAGAGTTTAGTTGGCCATTGGTTTAAAACACGATATTGTGTGACGGTTTTAGGTATTAAATGAAATGTCTTTGGCCCAAAAATTTCTTGATAATTGGTATAACTGAAGCTTGTGGCACTTGGATGATAGATCTCTACTATCTATTTTGTTATTAACTATGTGCTTTGCTTCCCAGTTCTACCATAAAAATTTTTTGATGGGAACTTTAATTGTAAATTTTCCCCATTTTCAACCATTCAATTAATTTGAAATTCTTTGTTTTTTGCTACATCTGAAGGTCCTGGAACTCTATGTTTGGTTGAGTTTTCGGTTGGAGGATTCATTCCCTGACCGTGAGCTGGCTTCTTCACAGAAGGCCATCTGTAGTTTGTGAGTAACAATTGCCATTCTTGTTTTTTGGTTTGTTTTACATTGTTACCTTACTAGCATTGTTGACTTTGTAGGTTAATTGAGGAATTCCTTGAAAGACTTGGTTGGCAGAAGCCAACATCTAGAAGGTTAACTTCAAGTGCAAGGTTAAACTCTTTAATTGCAAACAAGAAAAGACATTACCTTTGTGATTAAAATTTAAACTACTATTCTGTAGTTATTCATTAAATTGTACATTTGTTTCTATGTCTTAGTTTGGAATTGATGTAAATGAAAGTTTTTCTTGTTATGTTTGTGATTAAACCTGATGTTGCATCGAGCTTTTATTTGAGACATATAATCTTTGGCTATAAGCCTATTCCTTCCATCTCGAATTTGAACTCAAGATTTTTAAGATGGAATCTCAAATTTTAACTATCGAGTTGTCTCAGCTTTTGGGGAAGGATGTATGTTGATATCATGACTACACATACTTTAAAACGCCTTAACATGTAAAAAATGCTTTGCCAAGCATATGTGCAGCCAGATTTCTGATGAAAATACAGAATATAATGCCACACTTCTTGCCCAACAAGTTCTAATAAACAAAACTTTTGCACCCCGTTCGGTTCGTCACCTGGAAGTTCAACTTTGGATCGTCCTCTGCAATGCCGAATGCCAAGGCCTACAACTACGAGAATTTGTGGTTTTCTACCTCAAAGAACATTAAGGATAACTTAAGAATAGCAAATCCATATTGGTGCCACCTCCATGTATCAAGAGGCAAAAAAGACTAGTATCTGCCTGGAATCAGATGACACCAAATTTAAGCAAGTTTGTGAAGAAATGCTAAGCATTCAAGTAACCCGGCGGGTAATGTATGTGTGTCTGGAAGAGATATACTGCTTGGCTGATTGAAAAGGACAACTTATAAAACAGTACAACAGCAGCTTTCAGGGGCAGAAAAATTGGTCTAAAAAAACTGCTCCAAAAGATTAACAGCTTCCATCACCTGGTACGATTTCACACTGGCTTAATCAAGATTAACACTGGCATGGATTGGTGTTAATACTAGCAAAGACTGATGAACAATACATATGACAAATACTTACATGATCAAAACGCAGAAATATCAACAAAGTCCAATCTGGTGAGTCTATTCTGAATCTTAACAATCATTCTCTGTGAAAGTCTGTTTTTTCTGGCTCTTTCACCTTTGACATCAATTCCTGAATCTGTTCTTTTGCTTTAGCCATATTCTCCTTCTCAAGTTTCTGTACCAGTGTCTTACGTATGGAATCCTTGGGAATCATCCCCTTCAGCACCATTTCTTCAAAGAATGCACAAGCTTGCTCCAGCTTCCCACTATTACAAAGCCGTTGAACCAATAGACTATAGGTTGCAAGATCAATACTGACATCGTTGTTTAACATGTGGCTTAACAGAAAGTTGAGCACCTTCATCCTCTTCTTCCTGCAGCACATTTTAAGTAAAGGCCCATAAGTTGAAATATCTGGCTTGCATGAATCCTCTTCCATCCTCTGAAGCAACTTCAATGCTTTCTCTTCAAGTGAATGCCCACAAGCTGAAGTAATCATTGTATTATATGTCAATACATTTGGCTTAACACCTTGCTTTTTCATGTCCTCAAAGATTTCATCTGCGTCCTTAAGCCTACCTGACTTGCTTAGAATGAAAATCAACGAACTATAAAATGAAGAATCTGGTAAACAACCATCATTCTTCATCTTCTCATAAACCTCCAATGCTTTACCAATAATCCCTGCCTTCCCTCTAGCGTGCATAATAATAGTATAAGTCACTACATTTGGCCTACACCCTTTCTCTTTCATTTCATCCAAAACAGCATCCACATTGTGAAAATCCTTTTCATGACAATAAGCCTCAATAAAACTAGTATATGAAACAACACAAGGCTGACACCCGTATTCCTCCATCTCATTGAAAATCTTCCTAGCATCATCTAACCTCCTAGCCTTACAAAATCCATGTATCAAAATATTAAAACTACTAGAATTCAAAGGCATACATTCCTTTAACTCAACAAAAACTTCATATGCATGTTCTACACCATCCCCTTTAACCAATGCATCCAACAATCCGTTCAAAGCCACAACATCTTTTCCAATCCCATATTCCTCTAACCTTCTGAAAGCCTCAATAGCCTCACTAAACCGACCAGACTTAGCTAATCTCCTAATAACCTTAACCATTGTATCCAAACGAATATAACCTTTTAACTGATTCATTTCGTTAACTAAATCCAACACTAAATCAAACTTTTTAGCCTTCCCCAATATATCAACCATGGAATCATACAACTCAGGAGTATGCCTATAACCTGATTGTTTTTTTGCCCAGATGAAAACCCCATAAGCTGAAATCCAACTATGATAAAACCGCTTCAATAGTTGGTCAACTGAAACGTTGGAAACACTTAAACTGGACGCGTTTAAGGCTTCTACAACTTTTTCATGCGATGGGTAGGGATGTTTAAGGATCTTAGTGAGTTTGTCCACTTGGGTTTCAGGTTTTCTGGTTGGACAGTGCTTAACTTTGGGGTGGTTTTCAATCCAACTGGCAAGTGAAGGGATGACAAAATCGTCATCCTCCGAGGTTTGGGTCTCTGGGTTTTGGTTAGTGACCCAACTTGGGATGTCGGGAGACTCGGATGTGGGGGATGAGTCACGGGAAGCTGATTGCTTGCTGTTGGTTGTGGCGAAGAGAGCAAAGATGTAGTGATTTAGAAGATTGGCATTGAGGTTTCTCTGAGGATGGGAACGGGAAATGAGGTTCAAGATTTGGTTTTTTAAGAGCATCTTTCGGGAATGATCATGGAAGTTGACAGAGAAAGGAGAAATGTAAATGGGCACGAAAGTGAGTCGATTGGCGACTTTGCTAGGGTGCCTAGGTTTTGTTTGGGAATTTGGTAATGGTACTCGTTAATTTAAAAAAAAAAAAGAAATAGAAATTTAGAATATAGAGTTTAAAATTTTTTAACCAACCTAAAATTGGAAAACTAATTCTCCTTATTTTTACTCTATATATATAGATATATACTGGTATTCTCGAATAATAGTATAATAATATTACTAGCAGTTGTATTATTAATTTCTTCTTTCCATGTGTTCGCTTTCACAGTAACCAAACAGGTCATCATCCCAAGAGGGAAAAATTTGATTAGGGTTTGTGCAAAGACTTAGTTTGCCCTTTCCCTTTCTTGCTATCACTCTGTAATAAGAGAAATTTCTGGTAAGAATATTTTGCTTTTTTTGTTTGGAAACCTGAATTGGAATTTTAACGTTCTATTCAGTTGTTCCGTTTCTTTCACTTCGGGTGTCTTCTTACATGGGTTTAGTTTGGAATTTGATTATGTGGGGTCATCTCTTTGCTTTTTTCTTACTTCAGGAAGGCTGGCATTATAAGCAGCATGAAGAGGGCATTGCCATGGGGTGCTCAGGTTGATGTAATTTTGTCAGATGAATCTTCTTCATCATCATCTTCTTCTTCTTCTTCTTCAGATTCTGAGATTCAGGTCAATGATCGAACCACAAATGCCGCAGTCGATCAACCTCCTAAAGAGTTATCCTCTGAAGGTAATCTTGTTAATGGGTTTCAAGTTTTCTTCCATTTGATTGAGCCTCTAAATAATTCTTTGTGTATGTTCTTTCATTTTCCATGTTATTACCTGAGAGCAGTTTTGTTTGATTGACTAGTTGATTATTACCTTTCTGATATGGAAAGCTATAGGCAATTTCGGCTTCAATTCTTCATAGAAGCCCAGTGTTCTGTCTGTGTTCTTGTTTCTGATAGTTGTCAGAACTCTATGGGAATGCTCTCTTTAGGGATACTTCTTGTTCTTATAAAAATCCTTACTGCATGAAATCAAGTTTATTGATCAGAAGGGCAGAAATGTATCAGGAATATACGAAGCAATTACCCATCCCAATACTTCTTGTTCTTATAAAAATCCTTGTTGCATGAAATCAGGTTTGTTGAACAGAAGGGCAGAAATGTATCAGGACTATATGAAGCAATTACCCATCCCAACACAGCGTGGCTCTATTATTCCGTTTACCACATGGATGGGATTAGGCAGATCCATCAAACAATTATACGGGCAACCTTTGCATTACCTCACCAACATTCTCCTAAAACAGTGGGATCATTTGAGAATCGGCAGTGAGGATGAGCATAGCCCCCTGGATATCGTCATTCATCCTTGCAAAGCAGAAGCCACTGTCTGGCTCGTAGAGGAACTCCATCGGTGCACATCATCTCATCATCACATAGCCAAACTGTGGCAGTTGGATCCAATGCACCATGCTTTCATCGATTCCATTTTTCCAAAATTGTCAAGTGCATGTTGAAGGGTTCATGAGTTTTTGCATACCATGGACCTGATTCTGGGGTAAACCATTTAACATTCAACACAAAGTAGCAGAGGTTGAAAATATAAGTATCTTTCCTCCATTTCATTCAGTAAAAAATGTTGTTACTTTGTTAATGTAGTTTCAGAGTACATGATATCAATCCAGGATGAAAAGTTTTTGTGCACCCATCTCTTTTACCATGGTATTCTGTAGTTAACAGCCACATTGCATAAGTTTTTTGGTAAAACATGTGCTCTGGTTGTTCAGGCCTGTTAATATTTTCTGCATCTGACTGAAGGGTAAGTATGAAGTTCATTTCAGAATTGCAACTAAACTGGTGTATTTATATAACAATAGAATTTTCTTTGCATGTGCAAATACACGAGACTAAGTAATACAAGTTCTGCTACGGTATTACCAATAATCATTACAAGAACAGATCCCTCTTTGGAAAAAGTGAAATCGGTTATTATCTCGGACAATAATCTCTCTGTCATATATTTTTGACGCCAATTTGGCAAATGAATGGCAGTCAGAACAGATTCGAAGATTCTTAACGACCCGAATTGGCATTCCCTGATTGGTACTGATTAGCCCAAACGCCATTGCTAGTTTTTCACTATGTCTACTAAGTAAATATTCTTTCTCCTGTTCATCAACATTTAGTAGAACATTCGTTAGATCAGGAGCATGGCCAGCATCCCTTATTCTACAGTTCATTTCGTCCAGCATTGGTGCTATGTGGATCATTTCTGGATGTGATTCATCACCAGAAGTGAACTCATGAATTTCTCCATTTATCTCTATTGAGCTTGATCCAGGCACTTTCCTTGTCCCCTTCTCCTTCAAGTGCAGCCTCACCTTCGCAACATCAGTCCACTTCCCAGCAGAGGCATATATGTTTGATAGAAGCACCTGTATACCGGTTCTCTCAGAAGCCAATTCTTTGATCCTTTCAGCTGCATATGCTGCCATATCAACATTTCTGTGAATCCTGCATGCAGCTAAAAGAGACCCCCAAATTACATCATTAGGCTCCATAGGCATGCCTTTTATGAGATCTAGAGCTTGTTCCAACAATCCAGCACGGCCAATCAGATCAACCATACACCCATAGTGCACAATTTGGGGAGAGATTCCATGGACTGACTTCATTGACCTGAAAAGATCCTGGCCTTGTTCAACTAATCCTCCGTGGCTGCATGCTGTTAGCAATCCCACAAATACTACTCCATCAGGTTTGACTCCTTCCCTGAGCATGTCGTTGAAAAGCTCAATAGCTTGATTACCGTTTCCCTCCATGGCCATTGCTCCAATGGCAGCAGTCCAAGCTGACACATCTCTTTTCTCCATTTTATTGAATATTTCCATTGCACTCAAAGGATCACCACACCTTGCAAACATATCAACTAAAGCTGTACTTAGCCGAATGTCACAGGGAACCTTATTCTTTCTAATATAAGCATGGATCCACTTAGCAAGATCAAGTGCTCCTAAATATCCACAGGCAGATGCAATACTCACCATAGTCACCCTATCTGCTTTTATCCCCTCACTCTGCATCATTCGGAAAAGTTCAATGGCTTCTTTGAACATGCTCTCTTGTACCAAAGCGCTAATTATAGTGTTCCAAGACACCAAATCACTCTCCGGCATATTGTTGAAAACTTCCCAAGCTAAACCAATATCACCATTTCTAATATAACCTGCAATTAATGAATTCCATGACACCACCGTCTTGTTTGCCATGCCATCAAAAACTGCACATGCCATTTTTTGTTTGCCACACTTCATGTACATGTCAATTATAGCATTTGAAATACTATCCCAACCTTCAAGTCCATTCCTTAAAACATAACCATGACAGCATTTTCCGCACAAAATACTGCCCAACTGCGCAGACGCTGAGATTGCAGATAATATAGTAACCCTATCAGGCACCAGCCTCTCTCCCAACATTTGATCCAAAATAACAAGTGCTTCTCTTGCCATCCCCTCGCGCACATGATTAGACATAATTGTATTGCAAACAACCAAGTTTTTCTCTCCACATTCATCAAAAAGCCGCTTTGCAGTATCAAAAGCACCACATTTCATATACATATCAACAAGGGCATTCACCATTAAAGTATTGACCTTCACTCCCAACTCACCAATATGTCCACATACTCTCTCAGCCGTATCAAGATCCTTCAACTTTGCACACGCAGAAATTACACAAACCATCGTAACTGAGTTCGGCCTAACACCTTCCTCTACCATCTCAAAAAACAAATCAACAGCTTCCTTAGCAAAACCCCACCTTGCATAACCACAAATCAAACTAGTCCAAGATACAACATTTCTCTCAGCCATTTCATCAAAGACCTTGCGTCCCAGCACAATTTCCCCACACTCAGAATAGAAATGTATCAAAGAATTTAATACGAACATATCTCCTTGAAAACCCATTTTTACAACCGATCCATGAACCTGTAAACCCTCAGCACGCGCTGAAATCTTCGTGCAAGCGCTTAATATGAACGGAAAAGTATATTTATCAGGCGAAATGCCAAGTTCGAGCATTTCAAGATAAACCCAGATGGCTTCGTTACCAAGATCAATAGAGGAATAGCCTCTAATCAAAGAATTGTACATAAATAAAGTACCATCATTTTGATTATCTTGTCTAAATTGATTTAAAATTTTTCTAGCATAAATCAAGCTATCAAAAGTGCCCATTTCAGTACATGTAGAAATAAGGTTGGTTATAGTAGACGGGTGGTGAATTAGGCCTTGTTTTGTGATTTGACAGTGTAGTTTTTTGAGTTCTGTCAGGTAATTGCAACTGTTGACCGAACCAGTTGAAGAGGAGTCCTTTGTTTTGGTTTTGGGTTGGGTTTGGTTTATGAGAGTTTTGAAGGTTGGAGAGGTTATTAGAGGAGAAAGACAGGTTCCTGCCATTGTTTGGGGTGAGCTTTGGGTGCCGCAGTTGCAGCGACGGCCAACTCGAGTAGATATTTTTTTCTATTCTTTGGCCTTATACAGGCATTGATATTAATTTTTGTTCGCTTGTCATGGTGTGTGTGTGTGTGTCTATATATATATATATATATATATAATGGGTTTTAATTCATTACAAATTGTTGAGTACTAAACTGCTACTATCCAATCAAATCTTACTACATGTATGGGGTATCCTAGGATTTTGTCAACTATGAAACCCTCAAGAACTCTGCACGAACAAGTTCTCCAAAATTTTCATTTGCACTGTGTATAGGGAAGCAAGACAGATAGCCAGCTGAGAGATGGAAAGTTTGTAGGCTGTCGTTAACAAGAGAAGGTAAAGAAACCTTCTTTATTTTTTTGACACATAGAGATGATCATTACATTGACTTCATCAGGAGATTTCTGCTCAATTGGGATTCATAAGATCAGTGCCCAAGATAGCAAAATTTCAGATTAACATCTGATTATTATCTACATATCAGCCTTGGATAAGGGGAGTGAAGATTTATCAAAGAGAATCCTGCATATGGCTCTGATGGTGTTTGGAGTAGTCCTGCAGCAACCACCAAAGAGAAATGCACCAGCGTCTCGCCATTTGCCTACATATGATACAAAGTCCTCATCTGCTACCCCAGTTGATTTCTGCAAAAGAAAGCAGCAATTCAGTTTCTTGATCACTAACAGAAACCATAGAAAAAAAATGCAGGCAGACACTCACCACCCATATCTTGCGTTCAGCATCATAAGTCTCACCGCTGTTGGGATATATGACCACTGGTTTATTTGTCACCTGAAATTGCAACATCATTGGCAGCACAACAGTCTTAGTACAGAAGCAGAAGAAAGTTTACTACTCTGAGATTTTCACTTCGGGACTTTGTTGTTTAAGAGAGAAGGGAAATTTTAGCAAAATCTAGCTAAAAAGAAGTTGCAAACACCAAATGATCATTACCTTCCTGATAGAGAGAATTGCTCCATGTATAAATCTAGGAGGGGTACAATTGACTCCTACAGCAGCAACTTGCTTGCACGAACCCGCAATGGAGGCACAATCGCAAATAGAATCACCACTAACCAGATTGATTCCATCCTTGGAGGTGAAGGAAAACCAAGCTGGAATGTCTATACCTTCCTCCTCAAGAAGCTCAGCATATGCCTGCACTTGATTCAAGCAAAATCAGTAAGGAAAATCCCAGCTGAGAGAAAGTACTAGGATAAGTTATTTTGCTATAAAACCATTGGTTCATAGTTTCTAAAATATGATAGGATCAAGTTTTGTAAATCAGCCAGAATTGGGTGTTAAAAGAAAATGGAAAGGGTCACGCTTTGCATGCGCAATTAGTAGCTCTGCTTTTGAACAGCTAGTGAAAATGTCCACACAAAGCCAATAATTTGCAAAAACCTGCGCTTCTAGCTTGTTTGGAATTGTTTCAAATGCAATTAGATCAGCACCCGATGTAGCCAGAATCTGAAGTCTTCTCCTGTGAAAATCCTTCAATGTTTCCAGTGTCACTGAATCCCCATAGTTGCCACTGTATAGGAACACAGGAAAATGAGATCGAAGAGATGACGCCAAAAAGCTAAAATTTCAAACACTGTTAGAAATGTTAAAGATCACTTTATGAAGACCACAAATTGAATAAAATGATAAAAAAAAGCTACATACGCATACTCAGATCCATCAGCCAAATAAGCCCCATAGCTGCCCACAGAAGCAGCAACCAAAACTGGACGTCTCGTAATGTTCCCATTGTCAAGGAAGTCCCAAGAATCTTTGGTGCATTTGTCATGATAAATTTGCCGAGCCTCACAAGCAATTTCAACACTTCTACTAATCAATGTTTCAGCTTCTTTTGTGGACAGGCCTTTGGCTTCAAAACCCTGAATAGTGGCCTGATAAGATGCCGTTATAATCACATTTGCGCCGGCATCAAGGTAATCTAGGTGAACCTGCAATATGTTTCATCAAGCATGTCTATAAGCAAACAGAAGGGAGATAAATCAACATCTGTTTCTCTCAAGTAAAATATCAGATGGTTATTACTTGATAACCCTGAATTCCGTAATAAACTTGGAAGAAGAATAGCAATTATTGACAGTATTTTACTGCTTGGGGACTTCCCCCTTTTTCAATTTTCCATTCCTCAGAGGTAACCTTCTTTATTCCCTTAAATCTCCAATTTCTTATACAAATTGAATTGAAATTAATCATTTATACTATTTGTTATCTCTCACTTCATTGCAGGGTTATATTGAAACGAAGAAGAGAATGAAAAAGTTAGGAACAGTAGCACATGTGGAACTAATTTTAGCAGGGGGAAAGGCATCGTCAAAGAGAGAACCCTTATCTTAATCAAAAAGAATTTGGAAGGAACAAGTATATTATAATCTTTGATTCAAATACTTTCAACCAGTGTGTCTCACTTTTTCAATTGCAACTCCAAGCATATTATGCCATGTGGCCACGACTTCAGCAATGCATTCCTTGATTATTGTTGTTAGAAAGAAATGAAAAAAGAAAAAGGTTGTCTTCCATTCCATCCTTCATCCTTGTTGGATGGAACAAGCAACCATGTGAAATTTAATACTCCTTTAATTTCCCCAATTTTTTCCAATAAGTACACTAATTTTTTTAGCCTGTCAAATACTATATTAATCTTTGCTACCTTTCTGTCAGAATATTTCAACATGTTCTGTTCCATCTGACATTTTCTGATCTAATCTATTCGACCTATTATCTGCATGCATCTTCTGCATTCAGGAAGATGGAGAGAAAGACAAAGAAAGGGTTTACTAATGAAGGGTTGATCATTTCATAACCCAAATTACCAGCAAAAACGTTCATGCAGTTCTGAATGCTCACCAAGCCTTTTAAAAAACTTGAGGCTTATAGCTATCCTACATGGAAACAATGATATATGGAATAAATGCTAAAGTAATTTATTGTATTAGAGAATAAGGAAATGCAAAATGGCAGATTCTGATCGCATGAAAGTAAGAATAGACAAATGTCATAAGAACATAAGAAAACCTCTTAGCTAGGAAGGATAGCTTTCGACACGTTGCTGTCAGATGATAACTTTTTTCAATATATTGTGTGTATATATATATATATATATATATATATATTCTAGAGTAAATAGAAACGGAAAACTGTTTTTTAATTTTATAAATGGATAGTAACCCATAAATAATAGAAATAAATGAAGTAGCAAATAAACCAATAAGCAAAAGTCAGGTTTTAGCTGAAGCTGATTTCCCAAAGATGGAGTTCATTAACACTTAAAATCTATCCATACACGTCCTAAAACGCTTAAAATTTCTCCCTCTTTGGCTCTTTTACCTCTTTATTATGCGTTCTATGTATATATACGAAAGAAGAAACTGATGGCTCATAACTTCAAAAATGAAAAGGTGAATTCCCCTATATGTCAAACTCACACAAGGTGAGAAAAGAAAGTAGTATGTACCCTTCTAACAAGGTGCGGAGAACTGATAAGACACTTGGCACTCCATAGAGGATCATTGAGGTCTTGGCCATGGCGTTCAAGCTCGGTGGCGAAGCCACCATCCACCACGGCGTAGCCACCGCACTTCTCAAGAAAATCAGACACGAACACCGAAGGTTCCACGCCTTCCAGTCCCATGGTCGGGGAGACAGAGAGAGTGAGAAGCACGCTCCGAAGGGATTAAGGAAATGAAGTGAAGGTGGTCGGTTTTCAGCTTTCTTGTTAATACACACGTTAACGATTTATAGAGGGAAAAGATCATGTTAAGTTACACATTTCTCCCTGGTGTTTATATGAGAAAGAAATTCAGCTCATGTGATTTCTGTCTCTTTAGGCTTTGGGGTATTATTATTTTTCTTATATGTAAATCCACCATATTTACTTGTCACGGATTTGGAAAGACTAAGTAAACCTATGTCTAAATATTTACAAAATAATGTGGAAGTGAATGTAATTGAACTTGAAGAAAGAAATTTTTTGAGAAAAAATAATTATATCATTTTTAAGAAAAAAACAAAAACAAATACTTAAGATCCTAAGCAAATAGCTTGAATACTTGAATAATTGAGTACTTGAGTAATTTGACTCTATTGCCTTTCAACTAATTCTAAAGGTGCTATTTTAATAGACTATCATAATCTTAAGGAAACTTTAATTCTTCTTGTAGTACAAGTAAAATTAATAACTATAAAAGAAATATAAATAAAATAGAAGTTCTACGCCGAATAAAACTCGTCTAGCCTCAAGTCCAAGATTGATTTAACTATTCCTATCCAAGCGATCTTTTGGAACTCGACGGACTCCTTGTGCAACCAAGCTACTACTACACGTTCTAATGTGTAGGTCTAGTGCGTTCGACTTTCTTACTTGTGGTCTGTAGTCTGTAGAGATTAGGTGGTGCAGCGTGTCTTTGACCTAATGGTTGTTGAAGACAGACCCTTAATCAATAGTGTCCCTAGGTCGATTTACGACCCTAGGAGGTATGTGGCACCTAAGAGTGTTGTTAGTCCGATCCCACTATCGAATTTGACGTGTCATGGTTCCACGTATCATGACATTCTCCTCCACTTGATATAGGTAATGCTCATGTTGCCTCGTGGTCTCTTGCTACCACAAGTCTTTAATAGGGTTCCCACGATACTCATGGGTTCAATTGAAGTAAGCCCTTATTGGCAGTCTCAAGAACACTTCCAAGTTAGGAGGTGTTCGATCATGTGGATATCTGGCTCACAGTTGATCTATGAATCCTCTTTGAAACAGCTATGTGGAGTCCAAGTGCACGACTCCCATGTGCATGATGTCTCTATTTGCGACACACATAAGACACAAACGGTTTGAACTTGATGTCTGGGTCGTCGATCCAATGCCAAAGTTCTGTTGGTCAAATCACCTAGTCTAGAAGTCACAATGTGTGCCTTCCTAGTATTTGTCAACTAAATACATCACCGTTTATGCGAAACCTTTAACAACCTTTACCAATTGCCATTGTTGTTGTTGCATTGCTACCATAATTCATCTAGTCTACATCATGGCGAACTAGCAAATCCACGACCATTCCTTGTGAAGCTCATTACTATTGGACTCCAGCTTTTAGGTACTACCCTCGATGTGTTCAAGGTCCACAAGCACTTCTTCTTAAAAATCATTTCCAAGCGAGACATGAAATCATCTTGTGCACACAAGTTGTCCTTAAACTCATAAATCTTTAGGGCACATGTGTGCGTAATTTTAATGTTTGTAATGCTCACACTATTTTAAATCAAGACGTTTAAGCAAGATGTAGTTTAGTCATCAATTAATGTCGATTTCCTTTTCATTCTCTTACTTTTTTTCTTAAATTTTACGACTTAGATTTGGAATAAATTTATACTTTTCCTTAATCCTCACAGTTGTTGAACCTTACTCCAAAACCTACTTTTTTGAAACTTAAGGTTTCCAAATTTTCCTATTTCTAATATAAACTTTCTCAAAATTTGAGATTGATTTATCCTAACTCTCACCTTGCATCTTTTTCTAGGTCTAATACCAACTTTTGTTTGAAAGTTAAGTGAACCTTACTTAACTTAACTCTGATACCAATTATCACAAGTTTAAAACTTTAGTCAAGATTCGTACCGTGCTTCGACTTAGGTATGAAAGACTTAGCAAGCCTATCCTTAAATATTTGCACAATAATACAAAAGTAAAAATAATTAAACTTGAAGAAGGACACCTTTTGGGAAAAAATAATTATATTATTTTTAAAAGAAAAACAAATACCTCAGACCCTACGTAAATGGCTTGAATGCTTGAATAATTGGCTACTTGGACAATTTAACTCATTATCTTTCAACTAATCCTAAGGGTGCTGTTTGTAATATAACTTATCCTAGTCTTCAGAAAACTCTAATTTTTCTTATAGTATAAGTAAAATTAATAACTATAAAAGAAATATAAATAAAATAAGAGTTCTACGCCTAATAAAACTCATTTAGCCTAAAGTCCTAGATTGATTTAACTATTCCTATCTGAGTGGTCTTCTAAGACTCAAACTCCTTGTGCAATCGAGCTGTTGTTGCGTGTCCTAATATGTGAGTAAAATGTTTACAACTTTTTTGCATGTGGCGCTTAGTTTGACGAGATTGGGCAGCACGACGTATCTTTAGCTCATTTGTTGTTTAAAAGAGGCACCCAATTGATAATGTCCTTAGATTGATTTATGGCCCTAGGATGTGCGGCACCTATGGGTGCTATTGGTCTGAGCCCATTATCAAGTTAGATGTGTCACGACTCCACGGACTGTGACATATTACTCTTTCATCTTACAATAGCAAAGGTATAAGTTCTAAAAAAAATCTTTATGCAATACATGTTTATTCAACTAAGTCCTTCACTTTATATATATTCAAATGAATTCTTTAACTTTTATTTTAAATCAAACAAGGTTTCTGATCTAACAAAAATGTTATTGTCATTAAACTTTATACCAATTATGTTTTTCTACTTACATAACATATCACCTAACTAGCATGATATGATCACGTGGCAAGATCAAAACTCATAATAATTAATTGTTGAACATGATTAAAGCTGAAATAAAAAACAAATCATTTTTTATTCCTCTCCTTTTCAATTAATCCCAATAAGTTTTCGAAAATTTCCTTTTTTTTCAAATCTAAAAATATCAAAATTTAAAAATAATAATTTTTATTTTTTAATTTAAAAAAAAAATTAATCAAAAAATTATTCTAATTTGTTATGAATATATATATGATGTCCGTTATGTCATGGTCTAAGAATTCAAACCCAGCCTAACAACCTAATAAGCTAAACACATGAGTGTAATTTAATGTGAACTCTTATATTTGATTATATATATCCAACAACGTTATGTGAGGATAATACCACTTATATAGTACAATTAAAATAAAGATACATTAAAGGTGATATAACAAAACATATTTTGTCAAAATTCTTCTTCACTCATGATCCCTAAGAAAAGAGTAATATTAACAAATTCAGTCAAGTGACAATCTAACAGATTTATTCACCAAAGCCATTCCTACTGCAACATTTGAAACGTTAATACAAAATATTAGAATATGTTATTTTAAAGGCCTTAAATAATGCAGTCATTAGGAGAGTAAAATATGCACTTTACTTTTTTCCGGTTTTTCCAACTAGGTTTTTCTTAGTAAGGTTTTCAATGAAACAGTATTTCAAAAGTACATCCTTGAAAAAAATTATATATTTTTTTTCTTTCACTTGGATTTTTTTTTTTAGTAAGATTATAATGAAGCATGTTCTTAACACAATTAACATTTAAGAAAGAGTATTATGAATGTATGTGTGAACGTCTATTATGTCATGGTCTAAGAGTTCAAATCAAGCCAAATAGCCTAGCAAGCCAGATATATGATGTAAATTTTTATATTTGATTATGTATAGCTAGATTTGGATGTAGATTAGATTAGATTAAGATTAGAATTTAATCTATCCAAATCAAATCTCTTAAGCATTATCTTTATCTTGTAAATTTTATCTAGATAAAAGGTTATTAACCTATAAATAGATCCTTCACTTCATTTGTAAACACATATTCTTACTCCTTTTAAATATTTTTTCTCATATTTGTTCTTTCAAGTTATATTTTATAACATGATAAACGAACATAGGAAAAAGAAAGAAATTGATTAAAGAAATGGGAGAAAGAAAAAATCTAAAATTGATTTTTTTATTAATGATTTTAACTTTAATCAACAATCAAAATCAGTGATTTTAGATTCAAGTTCAATCATGTCATATATCATATGGACAGAAAACACTACTTGACATTGAGTCGGGTTTGATAGCAATTAATTTTTCATAAAGGTTAAGGACTCGTTTGATTTAAAATAAAAATTCAAGAACCCATTTGACTATTATTAAAAGTGAGAAATTTAATTGAATAAATAAATATAAGAGAGTTTTTAGGGATTAAACCATTAAAAAAACTTGCTTACGTTTAATTAATTAAATTATTAGATTATTATCCTTTTGGAAAGTTTTTATTGATGGAAGACATGGTATTTATATTCTCCAATCCAATGATTAATTAATTAAAATGTTATTTCTATCTAAAGGTGACAACTAGTGTCGGTTTTTGTTTCAAATATATATAAATATATATGACGAAACATAAAAAATCCAATTGATAATTTATAATGAGATCATAAGTAATGATATGTTTTTCATCTTTTGCGTGGTCAAACAATATTATTGTTTTGTTAAGAGGACGAATACTTTATATTATCATTTTCATGAAGAGTTTATTTTACCTCTCAACTTTATCACCCAGATAATTAGGGAGAATATTAGTGGAACCCATGCATGTATATAATTCTAAAGTATATATGGAGAATTACATTGTTAGCCAACAAGAAGCACAATGGAAATGAACTCATCAAATCCAGCCCACCTTGGGTTAAGATTAAAGCTAGCAATTTGTGGGTAAAGTAGGAATTAAAATAACTGGGAATCTCAACGCCAGACTGAATTAATCATTGTCACCATGACTCATTCAGACTAATACATTGATTTTCCAAGTTGATGCATTCCATCGACGAGCCATAACCCAAAGGCCAGGTTGATTTTTCAGTAACTGATCTGATGCAGGGCTGATGTCAACCCAAATCAGCAAATCAGGTACAACCCTAGTCAGTCTTTTATTCGGCTTATACATGCATTAAGAAACAGCTCATCAGCCACATGCCGT